GATCCAACCCCGAAAGCTTCACCTGAAAGGTGGGGAACATCCTCCTGCGCAGAGAGCGGGGTGGGAAGGGGGTGCCCCCCAGCCTTTGCAGCCCCCCAGGCCACTCCGGTTCCCACCTGCCTGCCTTGGTGACGATCATCTCGGTGCCCAGGCGGTTGAACTCCTCCCAGAGGCTGCCCATCTCCAGCCGTGCCGCGGCGTGGCACACGTGCCGGTTCTTGCCACTGGCCCCCAGCCCCTCGCCAGCCCACCCGAGGCCAGGGGTGCATGGAGACCCCTCACCTGGGCCCCCCAGGAAGGCTGCAGAGGATTGAAGGGGTGTGGGCCGGGGGGAATAGACCCCATGCAGGGCCACCCCATCACACCACTCCTCCATGGAGATGGTGACAGGTCAGGGTGTCCTGTCCCCCATCACAGGGGGGTTTTATCCCCATCCTTGCCACACCCCAAAATGCCGCAGGACCCCACCACTGGGTGCAGGGGGTGTTTGCATGGGTAGGTTTTACCTGCCATGGGTGTGGTGGGAGGACAGGAGGTGTCCGTGGCTCCGTTCCCCGGCATGGTGGCAGTGGGATCCTGCCAAAGCCCCCTCTCAGTGCAGCGCTGGCTCTGCAGTGTTCCTGCAGCCTGCCGGGGGTTTTATGCCCCAGCTCAGGGATGGAGAGGCGGGGGCTGGAGCCGAGGTGGTCCTTGGGGGCTGGAGCACGGCCCCCTTGCCCAGCCTGCATTCGCGCCTTGACGCGGTGACAATGGACGGGAGGTGAGCGGTGGCACCGCTGGGACCACCACCAGCCCCCAAACAGGGCTTGGGCAGGGACATCTTTCCTGGGGTCTTCTTGTCCCTTCATATCACAGATCTGAGCAGGGGGAGGTGGGGGCTCCCCCAGGCAAAGCCCCTCTCGGTACGCAGCCGTCACCACCTGATATTGAAAACCACAGTGAGGTGTTGAGGCATTGGCAAAGATCCACCGCTCCAGCAGAGCCTCTGCGGCTCTGGAGGGAGGAACAAGCTGCCCCCTCCCCATAACCCCCCCAAGGTAGGTCCAGTCTCTGTCCTGGAGCCTGGGACCCCCTGTGACCCTCAGCAGTGACAGCGGGAGATGGATGGGGACAAGCAGGCGCCGCAGGGCTGAGGGCTCTTTGTGGGAGGTGAGGGACACCGGGATGGGGCGTTCACTGGGAAAAGCAGAGGGCTTATTCCAGAACCCCCCTACTCCCCTCCAAACTGCACTGGGGCCATGGATGCTGTCTCATAGCACACCACGGAGTGTACTCTAGAGGGATGAGGGATGCTGAGTCTCTGGGAAAGGGTCTGGAGCACCAGGGGATGTCCTTGTGGGGATACTGGTGGCTTTCTGTACCTGTTGGTGTCCCAGCACTGGCCTGAACTCCCTCTCTGTTCTGCACAGAGATGGATATTTTCTCCCAACTGGGACTCAGCCTTCTGTCCTGCCTTGGGTTTGGCACTTGAGCATCGTAACACAGAGGGGACCATGTGTCCTCAGGTACTGTGGGGTAGCCTGGGCAGCTCCAGCATTTGGGACCAGGGCCAGGAGTGATGTGAAGCAGGGAGAAGCCGCCTCCCCAGGCTCCCCCCACATCCCCCAGACGTGTCCGTGCCCTGCGGAGCTGGCTCAGCCCCATCCATCTCCCGCTGTCAGCCAGCCTGGGCTGCGGGGCGGAATCGAGCGCCAGATGAGGAGGTGTGAGAGAGGCAGAGCTGACAGCGGGCAGGAGCGTGGAGGGGACTCAGGATCAGACCTGCCAGGGCTCATCCACAGCTCCTGGACCTCCTGGGTGAAACTGGATGAGGTCCTTTCCAATCCGAGCCAGGCCAGGATTCTCTGGCTATGCAGATGACTGCAGGTGGGTATCCTGAATCCCTGTTGAAGCACATGATACAAAATGGGCTTTTCAAAATGAACTTTCTTGGTCCCAAATGGGCAAACGGGAGCCAGAAAAACTTTGAAAAAGGAAAACGGTGTATCTTTCTCACGGGGAATAATTGCCCCAGACAGCAGGACAGGCTGGACAGAGCTGTGGAGGCCACCAAGATGGAGCAGGAGAAGAGCGTTAGCACACAGTCAGATGACTCCCTGCAATGAGCCTCTGACTCAGCTGGAATGGGGAAGTGAAAGGTGCTTGGGGGGGCAGTGGGGGAGAAGAGGAATTGACCCCAGTTTTGCAGGGAACAGTGAACAGTAGCATGGTGGGGTCAACAGGGAAGTGAGAAGGCGGGAAGTGACAATACTCATTTCTCAACCAGAAATACACATATCTGTTAGGTAAGAGTGGGCAACTCTTGAGCAGCAGTTGGCTCTTTATTTATTTATTTATTTTTCTTTAATTTTTAAAACCCTGATTGAGAAAAAAATAAGAGAATTTCAGCAGGTAAAGTTATACCCTGGAAGTGTCCAAGGCTGCACTGGCCTGAACTTGGAGCACCCAGGTCTAGTAAAAGGTGTCCATGCCCATGGCAGGGGATGGAACTGGAAGGTCTTTACCAAACAATTCCAGGTTCCATTTGCTCTAGGGAATGCGTAGTACGAAAGAAAATTGATAATTGCTAAGATAAAGCAATAATATGTCCATTAGTTAATGTTTCTTTCCCCCTCCCATAAATAATGAATAAAAGATACATTACTCAACTCTAATTATGTATAATTAAAAGGTAACATAGAAATAGAGAAGAATTTTTAAAATCTTTCAAACTCAAGTCTCCAACAAACCCATTTGATTTTGTTTCACTCCTGCTGACGCCATTGTGCACGTGGGTGGCATCACTCCATCTCTGCAGGCATCCATTCCAATGTGCCCTGGGTATCCCAAGAGAGAAACCCCAGGATGGATCCCAAGGCCTCTGGGGAAGGCTCATTCTGTTTTCAGGTGATTCAGAGACCTTTTGGCAACTGCTCATGTGGGGAAGGTGTAAAAGTTAAAATCTTCCAGCCACATTAGAGGATGGAACAGGAAACGCTTCCTGGTTCTGGTGAGACCGATGGGGCTTGAGGACTCCAGCTCAAGGACCTGTGAGTATCTTAATTATACTTTAATTAATTAAAGGGTGGAACTTTAAGTGGTTTTGGGACAATTTTTTGCTGGATGAATTGAATTAGGAGGTGGGTAGCCTTTTTTTTCCCTTGAAGCTGCATGTGGATGAATGCTGGTCTCATTTTAATTGACCAATATTTATTGGAAATCACTTAAATGGTGTCGGTTGCCAATTTAATGGAACACTAATTAACGTGGAAAATTAAGGCTTTATTTCTATGTTATGGATGTTATTGTATTTATTTGTCCCTAAATAAGAACATCTCCCTCCCCAGCTGCAAAATGTCATCCCTTCCAGGGATAGGGCATCCACAACTTCTCCAGCCCTGGCACGGGTGCCCAAGGCCAGCTTGGACAGGGCTTGGAGCAGCCTGGGAGAGTGGAAGGTGTCCCTGCCCATGGTAGGGGGTGGAACAAGATCAGCTTTAGGATCCCTCCCGACCCAACCCATTCCAGGATTCCATAATTGTCTGTGTTCAGACGCACCCGGCTCGTTCGATGCCTCCAAACCTCTTGATGCCCTCCAAACTTCCCGCACCATCTCCTCCCCAGTGTGTCTCTTTCCACCCAGGCAAGGCTGATTTTCCACCCCAGCTGCAGTTTTCTGATTATTCCTGCTTCCAGGTTTCAGGACTTGAGTCATCTCAGCCCAGGACTCATCCTCTCTCCTTGTAGGCTTTGGATGAGTCACCACAGGTTCCCCCGGTGGGGACAACAATGTGTTTGGGGGCTTTGACTCATCTGATCTATTTAAAACATTTTTTAATGGAAACATGGCGTGGATTTCTCCACTTGCTGCCTGGTGGTGAAGGGTGGCGGGGTGACACAGTCACGTGGGAATGCGGGATTTATTCAGAGCAGGCACACTCCGGGCACAGGCTGAAGAGTCAATTTGAGCCTCAAGGGCTGCAATTCAGACTATAATCATCACCAGGAAGTGTAAAAATAATTTGCAGCAGGAGCGTTCCTGAAGAGTTTTCCCTTTACCCCAGTTTGCATTTGAAACACTTCTCCAAATCCTGGCCTGTCTCCCAAATCCTGAATCTTGATTTCCTACATCAATTGTTTTTAATTCACTGTGATGTCAATAGATCAGTTACATATTCCAAGAGATAAATGTGTAGATATACAATTACGCATTTCTAAGAAAAAATGCTTTATATATATTAAGGAATTATATATAAACATTTTCTTTATATATTACAATAAATGAATATATTGAAATTATTTTTATATATTTGTTAATATATAAAATAACAAAAATAACAAATACATTATATATGTATATAGAAGTAGGAAATCAATCCTCAAGTTTCCATTTGACTTTCTGAAACTGACTGAATTTATTTAACTGTGTTTATTTATCAGCGCAGGTCCCCTCTTAAGGAGCTGCTTCCAAAGTAACCAATTCCCAAACCATTCCAGGATTCTGTGTGACCATGCGTGGGTCTCACTGGGACATGGCACATCCTCTGCTGGGCTACCTTGAGCATGTTGATCTAATTCTACCTGAGATACCACAGCATATGAAAATCTGCTCCAGCTGCCCCTGGGAGGAAAGAGGAGCCAAAATCTTCCTCCAGGTATGTTTGTATTTAATATAGGGAAGAAATCCTTCCCTGGGAGGGTGCTGAGGCCCTGGCACAGGTTTGCCCAGAAAAGCTGTGGCTGCCCTATCCCTGGAAGTGTCCAAGGCCAGGCTGGACAGGCTGATCCTGGTGAATCCTAGTACAGCCTATTGGAAGGTCCTCTACTGCCCTGCACAAGGATCTTATGGAATTTGAGTAGGAAAGGAGGTGCCACAGTGGTGATCCTTGCCCCAGGAGGACAGGGATGAATGTTCCACACAGAGCACAGACACCAGCCTCTCAGCAGGGATGAAATCTAATCCCTGCTTTTTAATCCCTGCTTTTTTTCCATTCTGTCTCCGAGCCTTTGCACCAAGAAAATGTGGAGTAAGAAAAAGCGAGGCTGAACTTGGATTAATCAAACCACTGAAGTCAGTTCTCTGACAGGGGCAGGTTTCCAGATGCAGGCAGGTGGAGGCTGCCCCCAGGGAGGACTCAGCCCCCAAAGCGCTCGATTTTCATTATCTGTGACATCTCCAGCACCATCCCAGTGTCCCGGTGCCACTTCGCCTCCGGCATCTCCTCGTGGTTGATGAAAAGCAGCTCTAAATCCTCATTACAGCACCAGGAGACCAGACACATCGCTTCTGGGACATCTGAAATGGGATGTCATGTTCTGGGGGTGAAACCCAGCCCTTCAGCCAAGGTTTATCCAATAATGATGATTTTTAGGTTTGGATCCATTTGTCAGGAGCCTGCGGTGCCTATCCTCGCTTTGCTCTCTGGTGTAATTCTGTCAAGCCATGATTAATGTTATCCAGGAGAAAAATCAATGTTTATTTATTCTATCTGTCACAGAGTGGGATTTTAGGAGCTGTTGATCTCTCCCTGGTGAGCAGCAAGATGGAGCCTGAATTTATCTTTTTATCTCTAAATGAAGAATCACATCTAGAGCACAGTGAGGTGAGACAAACCCCAGATCTTATCCCTAGTGCTTTCACATAGAAAAGCTGTTCCTGGGACACGGGGAGCAGGTATTTATTCCTCAAGTGCTCAGCCTGGACTGAGAGCACGCAGATGATAAGGAAAATTTTCATTTTTCCGGCAGGTACTGAGAAAATCGTGGACTCCCATGTACGAATGGTTGGAGGAGCACTAAGAAGAAGCCTTGAAATTTATTGGTGAGCTATGCTGGTACGGTATTTCCCTCGTTAATGCCCCAAAAATCCCCTTTTCCACGGGTTCCGCCTCAGCGCGGCGGGCGGCGCGCACGTGCTGCTCTCTGCGGGCGGAGCGCGGTACTGCATCCTGGGGTTCGCGCATGCGCAGTGGGCTGACCCGGGGTGGCACAGCAGTGCGCATGCGCGGTGGGGGCGGGCTCGTTCTGTCTCGTGTCTCAGTGCTGCTGCCCTGAGGGCGAGCGAAAGGCGGGAGGGACAAGCGCTGGGCTGGCGGGAAGAGGTTTCTGAGGGCTTAAAATTGGAGGTGCCTTTAGGACACTTCAAATCCTTTAGCATATGAATGGAATTTAAATGAAATATCCAAATCCTGACAAGCTTGTATGAACTCCAAAGCCTCTGCAAGCATTTTACAGCCAGGAAGGGAGACGAGTCTGGAGTTTCCCCAAAAATTGGCTGCTGGTTTGTTTGACCAGGCATAGGAATGACTGTGTGTTCCCTGGGGCTGTCTTTATGGAGAATGGTTCATTTCTGTGCCCTGGGTTTATTCAGGGTATCTTCAGAATGATGGAAACTGATTTCATTGAAATGCCAGAGGTGCCCAATGCTTTCCCCAGCCGCAGCTCGGAGCCAGCCCTGTGGGAAGGGGTTTAATGCCCATTTTCCCAATCCCTCGAGGCAGCAGCACTGGAGCCAAGCATGCCCAATGTGCCCAGTGCTGGCAGGAGGCAAATCCAGGGATTGGACAGTGGGAGTTTGCCCTGCTCCTGGAATCCCAGGCCTGGAGCTGTGCTTCAGAGAGCCCAGGAGAAGCTGCCTCACTCAAACCTCATTTAAAGCTCAGCATCCTCCCTGCATGGAATAATTCCCTTGTACTACTACTACTACTACTACTACTTATTATTATTATTATTATTATTATTATTATTATTATTATTATTGCTACAATTATCATTATTGTTCTTATTATTGTTATTGATGCAATTGTTACTATTGTTACTATTATTACTATTACTGTTATTGTAAATTCCCACTCCATGTCTTCCATAGCCCTTTGCTTCCCAGAGTTGATGCTTCAGGAAAGCCCCTCCAGCTTGGGAAGGAGCTTTTGGCTCTGGACACATTCCCAGTCCCCAGGAGCAGCAGGACCTGTGCTGTTCCCAGCAGGTGAGGCAGAGGTGCCTTTCCTTCCTCCCTTCCCTGCTGCACTTTGGCTTTTTGAGGGGTCTCTGGGGTCTGAGGGAGAAATTCTTTGTCACTCCAGGGCAGAATTAGCCCTGGTCCCACTAAAAGCAGGAGGAATCATTCATTCTATCCTAGATTTTGAATACACATTTTGTGTTTTTTCTCTGTTGCTGACACCGTGTGGTGAAGCAGCAGCTCCCAGTCTTGTCAGTGCTGCTCCCTGGAATGGTTTTTATTTGTAATACCATGAATTCCCTGCTGGAATCCCAGCACAGCCCCCAGATCAATGTGCAGTTGAAGGTCTTACAGCCTGACCAGGACAATTTCCTGTCTCTAGGCATGGAAAATGGGGGAAAACTCAGACTGGAGTGGAGCCAGGATCCAGAATGGGGGAGTGAGGCAGCGTGCTCAGCCCAGGCTGGGGTTGGCACAGGGGCTGTTCCCCGTTGGATGATCCCTGTGGGGAACAGATCCTTCTCTTCCTTTGTCCAAACTACAATGGCAAAGGATTCAGGAACCCCCAAAGTGGGGCCTGGAATGAAAATGGTTCTATTAAAATTAGGCAAAGAATGCAATAAGAAAAAATAGGCATTCTTTTTATGTATGTAAGGAATAAAATCTTCACAAGGGGTATTATGTGGTGTCACCTCTCATTTTTTTATGGATAGAACCCCACAGTGGGCAATCAGAACAGAAGTAGGAAAGCCAGGAGCCTTTGACTTCCAGAGTGGACCTGATTTCCATTTTCTCCTCTCTTTCAGGACAGGAAAAACCACTTAAGTCATCCCATCTCTGCCCAAAGCTTTGGTGTTTGAGCAGCCAAACCCAACAGGCTCCAGCCTGCACTGGAGGGCCCCTGGTCCTGCCCGTGGTGTGGGGTGAGTCCCCAGCTGTCCCCAGAGGGATCTGCCCTGGTTTCAGGCTGTCCTTGCCTGGTCCCTGCAGTCCCCAAGGCTGAGACACAGAGAGAGCCCTGTCCCAAGGGGCCTTTGGCTCCTGGTCAGGAATGTGGTGGCAGCCCCGGGGCAGGGGGAGCTGAGAATGGGGCAGTGCCTGAGGCTGCTGCAGGCAGGGCAGTGTTTACCCTGGGGGCTGGCCCCACAGCTGAGTTCCAGCAGGATCAGGGGCACAGAGGCTGCACTTTGTGCACCCAGGGAGTTTCTGTCCCCCCTGGAGCTTTCCTGCCGGGATGTGGCAGCGCAGGGAGCACAATGAAACCTGCAGCTCCGTGGCCATTGCTGGCCTTTGTCCCTCTGTTGTGCCATCAGCCTGTGGAATTTGCTGCTGTCGCTGCCACTGCCACCCCAGCTGGGGGCTGTGTCCTCCTGGCAGCCCTTCCCAGCCCCAACACGAGCTCCAGTGGTGCCTCTGTGCCGTGTTGGGAGCGTTTGCTGGGAATGTGCCTCATCCCTGGGAGTATCCTTGTGTTCCAGAGCAGACAGACTCCAGAGCCTTTGGGCTTGTCAGCTTCAGAGGTTGATGAAACAGTCCCTGAAAGGAAGAATGACAATGAGGTTTGTCCAGGTGGTGCTTTCAGACCCCACCTGACAGTGTTGGCTTTGTGTTGGAGGTTGTTGTGCATTTGCACTGCAGGGAACGAATGTCCCCTTCCCAATTCAGCCCAGCAGATCCCAAAGGCTCTTACAGGAATATTTATCCTTTACTTTCCTCTCTGATAACTTAATCTGCCATTGAGCCATTCCTTGAGTTCTCCTGGAGAAAACCTCACAGCAGAGGAGTTTGCAGAGGAGCCCAGAGCTGTGTTTGGAGCAGAGAGAGCTGAGAGCTGCATCTGCCTGTGCTGCCCCAGCCTGGCAACATCCACATGGAACAGCCTGGGCAGATGGGATTAGATGGAGCAAAATCCCTTCATGGAAGAGGTTTTCTCCTGTGCAGATCAGGCATGGGGCAGGCAGTGAACTTTGGAAATCAGCTGATTTCCCCAGAAAGCATCACTCCCATCAGCAGGAATGACAGGCCCTGTGCCCACTGCTCAGGATTCACCCAGCCAAAATCAAGGGCAAGGTTGGTTTGGGTCTGAGAACTTGAAATAATTTCAAAAGAGAAGAAATCACCTTTTTCTTCTTCCTTTCAGATGCTGGAATTGCCTCTGGATGTGTGCTGAGCTCTCACTGCAGGGAACTGCCAGGCCTTAATGGTTGTGAGTTTGTGTTCTTCTCACTGGGGAATGAATAATTATTAGTTATTAGTTGCAGAAATGTTTTCTGAAACCTTCCCCGTTTGCTGGTAGATCTCTTTCTGCCTTTGAATTTACAGCTGTTCCCTGCTGTCATTTGCCCTGCCTGAATTCCTTGCAGCTCCTAACTGGGAAAACCTGGGATAACTCAGAGGGGACAGAGGTGACATTTTTAGCTGAAAACCTGGGGCAGCTGGGAGGGGACACTGAACTGTTTGTGTAGGAAAATGTGAGGGGATATCGAGGGGAGCAAGGTGGCATTTCTGAGGGAAAAGCTGAGGTGATGTTTCAGGGAAAGAATGCAAATTTTTGGAGTAGAAAAGAGCTAATCAATATTGTACCAGAAGGAAAAATTTGGGAGTAAAACTCAATATAATCTGTAGGGGACAGAACTAATATATTGGAGTAAAAATGAGGTTCTCATTTCTAGGAAAGTGGGAAAATGAGTGGTACTCATTTTTAGGAAGTAAGGAAAATTTTGGAGACAAAATTTGACAAAATCTCAAGAGGAAAGAATCAACACTTTGAGGGAAAAATGAGGTGATGAGTACTGAGCATGCAGGGAAAATCTGGGGCCTAAATCTGAGCTAATCTCCAGGGGAGAGCATGAACATGCTGAGGTAACATGAGAGAATCAGTTATGGGCAGATGGGGAAATTTTGAGGGGCAAAAATAATATGAAATAATCTGTAGGGCAGGGAATTAACATTTTGAGGTAAAAATGGGGGCATCAGTATAGTAGATAGAAAAATTTGGGGGGTAAATGAGAGAAGCTACATGGTAGACAATATAGTGAATGGAAAATGAGGGAATCAGTAGTAGACACATAGAGGAATAACTAAATAATCTAAAGGTTGAGAATAAATATTTTAAGGTAAAATTGAGTTAATAAATTTGGGACAGGTAAGGAAAATTTTGGGAGTAAAACTGGAGTAAATCTCTAGGGAGAGTGTGAACACTGACATGAACTGAGGCAGTCACTGGGGGTAGGCAAAGAAATTTAGGGGGTAAAACTTGGGAAGATTTGTAGGGCAGAGAATGAACATATTGAGGTAGAAATCAGGTGATCAGGAGTGGACCAGCTAGGGAGAATTTGGAGGGCAAACCCTGAGCTAATATATAAGAAGGTTATAGGTTTTGGAGAAAAACTGATGTGATGTGTAGGGGACAGAATTTGGGGATAAGATGAACATAACTTGTGTGGTTTTGGTTTTAAAACCTAGTTAGTATACAGGGGACAAAATAGGTAATAAAATTTGAGTTAATCTGTGAGTGAAAGACTGAATATTTTGAGGTAAAAATGAGGCAATCAGTATTGGGCAGGTAGGTAAAATTGAGGGGGTAAAATGTGAGATTATCTTTTGGAAAGAGCAGGAACATCCTGAAGTAAAATTGCTGTGGACAGGTGGGTAAATTTGTGGGGTAAACTTGAGGGAGTCTCCATGGTAGAAAATTAATATTTTGAGGTAAAAATTAGGTACTCAGCAGTAGAAAGGTAGGGAAAATTTTGGGGTAAAATCTGAGGTGATCTCTTATGGACAGGTAGGGAAATTACTGGGGGGGAAAAACTGAAAGCATCCACAGGGTAAAGAAGGAAAATACTGAAGTGGAAATGGGGTAATAGGGAGTGGATAGGTAGGAAAATTTTAGAGTAAATCTTGTGGTAATCTCCAGAGTAGAGAAAGAATGCTTTCTTGTAAAAAGTGAGGAAACCAGAAGGGGACAGACAGGGAATATTTGTTGAAGGAATGTGAAACATTCCCCGGGGAAGAGAATTATCATCATGAGGTAAAATGAGGTAATCACTTGTGGACAGGTAATGAAAATTTTGGGTGTAGAAATTGGTATTTTCTTTATTGATGGAGAATTAGTATTTTGAGGTAAAAATTAGACAGCTAGTAGCAGATATGTAGGGAAGACCTTGGGGGTAAAACTTGAAATAATCTGTAGAAGTATTTTGGAGAAGATACCTGATATAATTTGTAGGGGACAGAATGAACATTTAGTTGGTGCCAGCCCCACAGTGACTTTGCCCCCAGCCCCACTGGTGCCGTTGCAGACCAAGAGCATATCAGTGCATTGCTGGGTTTTTCAGGCGCAATGTTAGAGCCCCATCTCCTCACTACACATGCTGTTCTAGTTTCAGTCACAAGCCCAGCCCCAGCATCCATGTCAGAGGCATAAAGGGATGTCGCCACAAGAACCCCACAGTCCCAGTGCCAGCCCTTCGGTTCCTATGGTGTGTGCAGTCCCTTTGCCAGCCCAGCAGTGATTACAGCACCCGCCCTACAAATGCCCTTTCCCAGCCCCAGTGATCTCAGATCTTGACCCACAAGCTTTATTTTACTGCCAGATCTTCTATTTCACTTCCCCCTCAACACCCTCGCAGCCGTGCTACATATCACTGATTCTGGCTCTCAGGGCCGGATCTTAGTTTTAGCTCTAGCTCTGTGTGATTTTAGTTCAGCTCTTGAGCCCATATTCCTGCCCCAACCTAACAATCCCTTCCTGCCCTCCCAAACAGCTCTACAGTCTCTATCGGAGCCCTTTAAGGAATTTCAGCTCCAGCCATGCAATTCCCATCCCAGCTCCATATTCGCTATCCCAGCTTCACAGAGATTTTACCCCAAACCCTACCACATTTCTGTCTCCTCCGGCTCTGCTGCCTCAGCTCCAGCTCCTCAGCTTCCTACTGCCTGTAGCTAAAAGTTGCTCCTGCTTCTCACTGCAGACTGAAGCTGTTGATAAGGGCACAAATCAGTTACTGTCATAATTTCAATGTCTCTTGCAGCTATCCCACCCACTCTAATGGGATCCCAGCTTTGGGGACCCTTGAGGCCTGAAGCCAAATAGCTATTTCCACCCCCTGGGTCTCAGCCCAGCACCTCCCCCAGACAGCCCCAGGGGCTGGGAATAGCCACCGGACCCCTGCTCCCACATCCCAAAAGGTGCCTGTGCGCTGATGGGCAAGTCTTGGAACCCTCCGAGCCCTCACACCCTCAGCCTCTGCTTGGTACCACGGGACAGGGGCTGGGAACCCCCAGGCATCTTCTGCGGGCCCCGCACTGCAGCTCCATGCCCCTCTCCCCAAGGCATTTATCCGACTCCAGCCCCAGCATTTCCACTGCCCCACATTGTTTTGGGCCTGACTCATGCCAAAGTCCTTATTCCACACCCTGGGCCTTTATATCTCCGGTGACCTCACAACCCGTGATTCAGCCCCAGCCCCACAACCCTTACTAAATTCACATCAGATAAAGAAAACACAAGCAAACAAATTAAATGTAATAAAACGAACACAACAGTAAAATAATGCAATACAGGAAAAATTATTAAGTAAACACAAAATCAAATAATAAGAATGCAAACAACCAGCTTTATTCCCAGTATTCTCAGCGTTACTTTAAATCCAGAAACCGCGAAACGGCTACTCCCCAGTGACAGCAGCCGTTCCCCCCCCCCGCGCCACTCCAGGCCCCGCACCCACCTCTGGCCGCCCGAGCCGGGCAGGGCGCGGCGCAAACAACTGGACACCGCCGGCCCCCGGCGCAGGCAAACGCGGGAGTGGCGTCCGTGCTCACCAGCGCTCCTCGGATCGGCAGCCGCGGGGGGCCCGTCCCGGCGCAGCGGCGCTCCTCGGAACGCGTATGCTCGAAGGGCCCGCGGGCGCCCCGTGTCCCGCTCGGAGACCCCCTGGCCCCTTCTCCGGCCCTTGCTCGTGCCCAGCTCCCGGCGAAAAGGGCCCCGCAGAGCCCGTACTGCAGCCGCCCGTCGGCACTCGGGGCAGGGGCAGGAGAGGGGCGCAGCCCGGCAAAGGCGGATTCTGCGATAGCAGCTCGGATCGGGGAGCGGCGGCGACGCGGCGGGGAGGCGGCTCGGTGGCGGGGAGTGGGGAGGGCGCGCAGAGCCCGCTGCGGGCTCTCGACGCCTCTTCCCCCGCAGTGTTTCCCCTTCTGCGGGGACTTGGCCTGCCCCGACTAGCCGAGATCAGCACCCTGGCCAAAACAGTGAAGTGCCCTCGTCCCCCTGCCCGCCCTCCGCCTATTGCGGGCCCGCTGCTCACCCTCCTTCTCCCCCACAGTCATCGGATGTTATAGAGGAGAAAATAATATTGACTTTCACGTTCATAGATCAGCTTTTTGCACCACAAGTATTTCGAAATGGTACAACTTACTTTTAACAGCTTTGTATAGTATTATTTTTATAATAAAACCCCTACCAAATAACAAATAGAAAATAAAAATCCCCTTTATTTTAAACTATATTTAAATATTTCTAAAATAAATACCTAAAGAGATCCACCATAGAAATACCCATGTTCCCAAAACAAAAATTAATAAGAAAATCATCCTGATTGTTAAATGGAGGGGGCTGCCCTGTTGTCCCTCCTTTTAAGGGGTTTGGATTGAGGTAAAATTCTGCCTTTTAGTGAGTTTTTTTTTTATTATTATTATTGATGATTGTATTCTTGTTTATTATATTATACATGTTTTATTCTTTCGGCTTATATGATTGCCGGGTGTGTTTTATTGTTGCAGAGAATTTGGGAGTTATTGTTTATGGTTACATTTCTCTTTTGGCGACGTGTTTATTTCTAAGTGGTATTTGTGTTTTGATGGTTTGAGGCATTATGGGTTTATGGAGTTAGGAATAATTATTTTGTTGTTGTTAATATGATTTTTTTTGGTGGCAGTTTGATGTATTTGGTTGTTGTTTTTTATTAGTTTTATTTTTGGGAACATGGGTATTTCTATGGTGGATCTTGTTAGGCAGTTATTTTATTTCGGTGGTGAATCTTTTGTTTCTTCATGGTTCCGATTTTGTTATATCGTAATAATTTGGTGGGTTTTTTTAGTTCATTTTATAGAGTATTGGGTTCTCTTTATGAGTTAGTGTAGTGATAGAGTTTTGGTGGTTTTTTGTTTTTGGGTTTTTTTTTTTCAGAAACATTCGGGCTCCGAGTTGAGCCGAGGCGAGCCGAGCTGTGCCAAGACGCGAATGGAGCCGAATGGAGGCGCTAATAGCCGATCTTAGGCGAAAGTAGGCGAAAGTGACCGCGGAGCCGAGTCCAGCCGGACCGAGCCGAGCTCCGCCGAGCGCAGCATCCCGGGCAGGGCGGGGCGCCGGAGCCGGGGCGCTGTGAGACTCCCCGTCCTGTCCCTCTCTCTACCGCTCCTTCTCCCTCCCCGTGTTCCCCTCAGTTATCTCTCTTTCCCCGTTTCCATCTCCCCCCCAGACCCGGCTCATTCCTGTCCTGTCCCTGCCCCGCTACTCCGTTCCATTCCCCGTCTCTCCCTCCTCTGTCCACCGTCCCTGTTCCTCCCCTGCCGGCCTTTCCCTTCCCCGCCCGCTTTCCTCCGCAGCCCGACCTCCCTCCCCACCCTTTCCATGCCCCGCTCTCCCTCCTCTCTTCCCGTCGCCCTTCGCTTCTTTCCCCCGCAGCCGCGGGGCTCGGGGCGCCGGAGAATAAAGCCCCGAGGGCCGGAGCCCGGCGCCCCCCGGCCCTTGCGGGAGTCCCCGCACGGGGCCGGAGGCTCTCGGCGGATCCCCCCGCGCCGCTCGGACACCGCCCGGCGCTGCCGGACCTGCGGCGCCGCCACCGTCGCGCTGAGAGCGGCCCCGCTCTGCGCCGTGCCGGCCGTGCCGCGTCCCCGCCGCCTCTGCCGCTCCCAATTTCTGCCCCTGGCCTGCGACAGCGAAGCGGGGCGGGGGCTTCAAGCCTTCTGGGGGCTGCCCCCCCTTTCCTTTTGCGGCGGAGTCGCTTTCTGGGGGGATGGAGGTGTGGAAAGGGCTGGAAGGGAGTGCTGGGCTGCTGTCCAGGGCGGTTGGACTCGTCCTGTGCCTTCTTTGGGGGTCAGGAAAAGGGGCTGAAGACTCGGGGCTCTGCTGTCATTTGGGGCACCCCGAGGTCCCTAGGAGAGGGAGGCACACTGCGGTGGGGGAGCGGGTGGGTGGCGAATGAGGGGGGGGGGGGTCACGCTGGGTGCCGTCCCGCAGAGGGACCCAAAGCTGCCCCAAAATTCCCAGGGAGGGCTGTGTGTAGAATACTAAAACCTGGCAAGGGTTTCTTTTTCACAGCTCTTGGTAAAGAATAGGAATCTATCGCTAAACTCGTTTGGAAAGAAGCCCTCTCTCTATCCACTCCTTTGTACCCAGCAGTGTAAGAAACTGACTGGGGATGGGCAGTAGTTTTGAAAATCATGCCCTAGCCTTTTTCTCTAGGAATGAATTAACCAAGCAAGTGTCCTGAAAGCACCGGGGCAGCTGCAGGGGCTGAAGGGAACAGAAAGGGCTCTCCAGCACCTTTTGCCTCCGTTCTCTGCCGTCTGCCGAAACGAAGACCTGTAAAATCCTAGCTCTGCCTTTTGTTTAACGTGTTCTTACTTCCTATTTATGTCATCACAGAAAGCAAGGAAAGAAGAAATGGGACTGGTTCCCACTATTGCTCCGTGCAGGCATTTTTAAAGGCTGCTGTACTTCTGTCCTCTTTTTCCACTCCAAGCTTGACTTTTCCCCTCCTTTTCCGAGGTCTGCTGCTTTGGGTGTCCCAAGGAGGGCCGGGTTTCTCGGCAGGGGTCTTAGGAGTTGGTGCCGATTCTGCTTTTTCCGAAGGTGTAGCAAAGTGTGCTACCAACAGGACTATTTTCTCCAGGAGAAAGCATTCTCTCAATGACCATCAATGCACGTATGTGCTTTAATCGTGTAACCAGATGGATTAAGAAAAGCCAACACCCGTAGCAGATTTCTGTTGGATCTGTGTCTGTGAGAAGTGGGCTGTGTGCTCGAGAGGGAGAGACGCTATTTGGAGGGCGGCAACAGCGGCAGGTGCGAGCTGTGAGGATGAGGAGGGCTCAGAGCAGCCCCAGGTGCGAGCTGTGAGGATGAGGAGGGCTCAGAGCAGCCCCAGGTGTGAGCTGTGAGGATGAGGAGGCTCAGAGCAGCCCCAGGTGCGAGCTGTGGGGATGAGGAGGGCTCAGAGTAGCCCCAGGTGTGAGCTGTGGGGATGATGAGGAGGGGGCGGCTCCTCCGGGGGCTGATTTAAGGGGTTTTTCTCACATCGCTTTTGCGTGGAGCTGCTGGAGGAGAGGAGTTTATGGGGGGCTCCTCCGGGGCTGTCTCGTGGAAGGACGGTAAGCACTTCGGAAAGGGTGGGGGATCATTTGGATACGTGGAGCATTGCTCAAAGGAGGAGCCGAGGGACAAACCTTTGTGCCGAGAAGCAGCGGCCAAACAGGTGAGCCGGTGCGCCTTTGTAGCAGTGACTTTTCTCCTTTCCCTTTTAAGTTTCGTCCTCCGGAGGTTGAAATGGAGGGGGCTGCCCTGTTGTCCCTCCTTTTAAGGGGTTTGGATTGAGGTAAAATTCTGCCTTTTGCCATCATTTGAGGCAAGCCCCTTCTTTTCTGCTCTTCTAGGGGATGAGATGGAAGGGGAGCCCACATTTCTTTGCCCATGTTGATGTGAAGTGAGCGCCTGAGCGTGGCGTCAGTTTCGGGGTTTCAAAGGAAGGGAGGCGCAGCTGTGGCAGCGCTGGCAGGGTGGGCATGGGGCTGTGCCGCTGCATTTGGGGCGCTTCTTCTGCCCCAGGCCCGGCAGCGAAGGGTCCGGCGCGGGAGCCCCGCTGGCAGTGGCTGGGGATGGCCGAGGCGGGAGGGGAATTGGCGCGGCGGGGCTGCCGCGGGACTGCCGGAGCCGCGCCGGTGCGAGCCGTGCGGAGCCGAGGGGAGCTTTGGCCGGGCCGGCGGACGGGGCAGGCGGCGCGGGCGCTGCGCCGGTGCCGCCGCTCCGTCCGCTCCGGGCGCGGGGCTCGGGCGCCGCCGGGGCCCCCCGGGCCGGGTGCCGGCCCCCCCGGGCCGGGTGCCGGCCCCCCCGGGCCGGGTGCCGGCCCCCCCGGGCCGGGTGCCGGCCCCCCGGGCCGGGTGCCGGCCCCCCCGGGCCGGGTGCCGGCCCCGCCGGGCCGGGTGCCGGCCCCCCCGGGCCGGGTGCCGGCCCGCCGGGCCGGGTGCCGGCCCCGCCGGGCCGGGGGGAGCGGGCGGGAGTCTCCCGGCGCGGCGCCGCCTCTGCCTGCCGGAGGAGCTGCTTTCCTGCCGGGAGAGCGGCTTCTCATTTTCCAGCGTTCCTTGCTGGCGTGGTTGTGAGGAACTTAGTGGATCCTTTTCTTTTGTTCGTAGTTGGTGTATGAGAAGGGTTATGGTGTACTTGTTGGTTGTTATGGTTCTTGGTTCAGGTGCTGATGACAAGGCTTTTTTTGAATTGAGTTTGTTGTTGGATTTTTTTTTTTCGGTTGGATATGTTGGATTTTTTGTTTTGATTATTTTTATGTTATTAAATTAGAATTGTAGTTACCTTCTTAAAGGATATGGGTTTTTTTAAGGTTTACAATGGTTTTTATGGGTTGTAGCATGAAGTAGAGGGTTGGTTTTTAATTAGGTTGTGGTGGCTTTTATTAGCGTGATTGTGTAGTGTTTGTTTTGGTGGGTTTGAGGTAATGTCCTGTAGTTAATTAGTAGGGTATTTTCTTTAATATTGATAATTGCCTTCTTGTTTATTCTATTATAGAGGTTTTATTCATTTGGTTTGTTTAATTGTCGTGAATGTTTTATTGTTACCGGTAATTTGGGAGTTATTGTTTATGGTTACATTTATCTTTTGGCGACGTGTTTATTTCTAGGTAGTATTTGTATTTTGATGGTTTGAGGCATTATGGGTTTATTGAGTTAGGAATAATTTTTTTGCTGTTAATTTAAGTTTATTTATTTGGCTTTTGTTTTAGTTTGATGTATTTGTTGGTTGCTTTTTATTAGTGGGGTTTTTTTCACAACTTGTGTATTTTTACGGTGGATTTTTTTAGGTAGTTTTTTATTTGGGTACTTATCTTTTTGTTGTCTAGTGGTTTAGATTTTTTAAATATCGTTTATTACTTTGGTTTTTAAAGTTAACTTAGCAGACTACTGATTACTCTTTGAGTTAGTGTAGAGGTATGGTTTTCATTTTTAGTAGCTTTCAGGGTCTGTTGTGTGGTTTGAAGTTTAGTAAGCTGGTTGGACTTTTTCTAGTGGGTTTTGTGATTTGTTTTCTATATGTGTTTTGGTTTCTGTGGGCTGGTTTTTATTTTTGTTTCATTTTTGTGATGTGTTTCACTAACAACTGCTAGTGAAAAGAGTGTAGTGTGGGGTTTTTTTTGCTGGTAGTTGGTTCTATGGTGGTGTATTTTTAGTTTGTGTTGTTTGTTTTTGGTTTTCTGTTGTTAGAGATTAAAGTTTTTATTTTGGGGTTAATTTGTAATTATTTTTAAGGTTTTAGGGCGATTGAGATTTTTGATATGGATGTCCAGTATGATAAGAGTTAATTTATTTGCTTTATGTGGAATTGATGGCAGGGTAGAGGACATTTTTGTATAAAATATGTATTTTAATCATAGTATTAAAATAATACCATGGTAAGAGGGGCTGTGTTTTATTGTTTGTGTTCAAGGTGGTTTGGCATTTTCTTATGGGTTGGGCTTTTTTTTGTTGGCTCATGGAGCCATTCTGACTTTTTTTGATGAAATTGGTGGGAATTTGATGTTTCTTTTGTTATTTTATTTTTAGGAATTGTATCTTTGCAGTAGTCTTTTTGATTTTGCTTTTTTTTTTTCTGTGGTGTAGTAGTCTTTTAGAAGAATTTGGCTGATTTTTAAAAATATTTTTGTTATACTTTTCATCTAATGTTGTTGGATTATTACAGATATTTTGGAGTTTGATTTTTTAAGTTTCATTTGGAGGAATTTATGCTAGATTGTAGGACTGTGTTTTTATTTTTGGGGTAGTTGGTTGTAGGTGTATTGCATGTTTTTCAAATGAAGGTAAAATGAGATTTGTAATCAGTTGTTAGAGGAATGGAGAAAAATATATTGGCAATGTTAACAGTGGTGTGTTATTTTGTGGTTTTTGATTTTAGTTGGTATTGGAGTTTTAATAAGTTTGGTACAGTAGTGTTTAATGGTGGAGTTATTTAAGGTATGATAGTTTATAGGTAATTCTTATTTGTTTTAGATTTGTGTGTAGGTTAGAGGAGGTTGTTGAAGGGCAAGTGTGTTTTGTAGATTAATTTTAGTGCTTCAGTTTATAGATCATTTTTTGGATGGGAGTTACAGTATTTTGAGTTGTTTGGTATCACTGGTGATGTATTGTTCAGGTGGTGAGGAGTATTTGTTGGGTTTTTTTAAAGAAGGTTTATTGTAGATAGTTTTAGATAGTTGTGGTGTGTTGCTTAATTGTTTTATGTTTTTTGGCTTTTTAGTAGTTATTTAAAATATGTTAGAGTTTTTTTGGGTTTATTGAATTACTTGATTTTGAGGAAGTTCCGATTTAGAATGTATGTTTTTTTTTGCTTAAAATAAAAATGCTATATTTTTAGTGAGACTTATTTTTTTTTCTTTTCTTACTGCTATATTTTGTGATATTTGTCTTGGGTTAGAATTAGGAATATCTTTACTTTTATATGTTGAAATGAGGGTGGTGTGTACTGCGTACTGGTGTTCATAAAGGTTTAATATTTTTGTGGTTCTCATGTGTTAGGCTAATGAACTTATAAAGTTTACTAGACTTTTTGTTTTTATTTTGATACAGGTAGGGTTTTCTTCATTTTAAGGATTTCTTTGGCACAGATTGAGAGGCCTTATTGAGGGGAAAGGACAGGGTGTTTCTGTTAATCTATTTGGCAATTTGGATATTGAGTAAATAAAGTTAATATTTTGGTAGAATTTTTTGGATTAATTTATTTATGACTTTGTGTGCCTATAGCTGTAGTGTCTCTGCTGCAGCTCTGAGTATCCATTCATGTCTGTGTGCATTAGGCGATCCAGTCGCGTAACACCGAGACTCCCTCTGCAACCGGCCCGCAGACCCGCTCCTTCGACCTCGTGGGAACTCGGGAAGCGGCACACGGCTC